AAATTGGGAAAACTTAATCAGGCAAAGTTTTGTTTATGTAAGTAGTAATTTCTTTCCTAGAAGAGAAAGAAGTTCAAGTTTATACTCATAAGTCTTTGCAGTTAACTTGTAATCTCTTAATCCTGGCTAATATTTCAGAACCCAGTTCAGAGATGAACTGGAACTTGGAAGCAGACTTTCTTCTGAAAAGCCACAAGAGGTCATAAGGGTCAAATAATGCTGATAATAAAGTCTTGTGGTTGTCTTTGATCTAAAGCAGATACAATTTAAAGAAAAAAAAATCTCAAATCTATTTGGAAATAGTATAGAATTTTTTTTCACAGAAGTTAATATTTCAAAAGTTACATTAGCAGAGGTGGAAGTTTTACTTTGGCTATTTAGTGAGTCACTCAGCTTTTGTTTTTTTATATATAAATGTCTATTGCTTGTGTTGAGTGGTGAGAATTGCTACTCTGTCAGGCTATGGAAAGAATTTTTGAGAAATAGTATGCATTTATGTCTGTGTTCGTACATTTATATATAAACTGAGCTTGAAGTTTAGTGATGTTCAGTGTGTTTTTATACCAAGTACACTAGCAGGAAACACTTTGTAGTTGAGGTCTGTGCCTGTGAGCCAACAAAGCTTGAGGAAGATGAGAGGTGTATACTCCCTGTACTACAGCAAGATTGGAGAACAAATAGTTACAGCTGTTTGAGGGATTGAACCAAGCAGTGGCTCAGTAGTAAGGGCTGGGTGCAAGTGATTACAAAGGAAATCTTTTTTTTCTTCCTGCTTTCTCTCCAAAGGAAGCTGACAGCCCACCTCCTTAAACTCAGACTTCCCTGGAGTCATTGTGTTGACCAAGTGGCTTATCCCGAAGCAGCAGTTTGTTTTCTTAACAGAATTTGTGCCTGACCTAGAATCAACTCTGCTGGTGGTAGACTGAAGAAAGAGCTAGAAAGCAGTTTTGGCTTTTGATGCTCTTCCAAGTTGATTTTGTAACAACTTTTTCAGGGTTCTCTTTGTGTAAACCAAAGAATTAAAGAAACTTTATCTGGCATTGCTTAGCCCTGTATCACTGCTGGTAGGCTCTGAGGGGTGGTGGTGGAAGTAATCACATCAAAGCTGGCTTTGCTCTGAATTTGAGATGGAAGTTCTATTGTGCTGAGACTACAGTGCTGATACAATCACTGTGAATGGTAAATATCATCAGTGATTGTTAATCTTTGACAGGAATCAGCAAGAAGAGGCAATGCTTACTTCAGTAGCTTGAATTTAGTTAGCGGCGGAAGGGAAAGAATGAGCAATTTTGTACTTCAAGGTGGAAACTTGGTAAGCAGGTACATAACTTGAAGTATTAAGGACATATGTTAAGGTCTGTCAAACCCTGGCAATTCTTTCCAATTAAAACAGACTGAGGACACCCAAAGATTTTCCCGAGTCAGGGAAGATCTTCCGTGGGGCTCAGCTGGCTGTTCACAGTGACTTTCTGTGCACAGCTTCCTACCTTCAGCTTTGAAGGACAATGACTCTGGTGACAGTGCTCATTATCACCAGTGTTAATGTTGTTAACAATGTTGTGTTGTGGTTTCAGGTTGATGGGTCTTTATTCCTGGCTGCCTGAGTTTAGAGTTCACTAGACAGCTAGAATGACACGTATAGGAAGATGTTTTTGTGGGGAAATGAGTAATTGCATTGATAACATTTCATGTTATACCTCAAAGCATTCAGTCTGTTCTGGGTGTAGAGGAAAGTCTAGTTTTAACTTTGATAGAGCCTTGTGGTTGCTCATCCTTACTGGGAAAGCATTTTATTAGGGAAAATAAAAAGGCAAACCTGCCATGTGTTGTTTCAGAATTCAGCAGTCAGAAATGTGACCCCATGCCTCTTACGTGTGCTATCCAAAGACTTTTGACTGAGGGTTTTCAGTTTTGTTTTGTATGCTTACTTTCCCTCTTGGTTTTAAAAGATGTAAAGACCTTCTGTGACATGTACCACTGTCTGCCAATTTATGCTGCCTCTTAATTGCTGCTATATCTTACAGTTAAAGACTCATCTCCTCCGGGCTTGCAGTTAACTTTTTTAGATCTCAGTATATTTAAAATAGTTACATAAGCAACGATGAAGTAGTTATAACTTTCAAAGATACAAGATGGTGCCTGAAGATAGGTGCTGCCAGAATTGCCAGACTAAATGACTGCAGGCTAACAGTCTTGAATAATTTTACAGTATTAGACAAAAGTTGGAGACCAGCTTCTTCCAAAGCAGAGTGAATAGGACTGCACTCAACATGAAAGCCCATATTCTTTGGGAGTGGGTGGCAGAATGATAATTAAACCTTTTAATTTGGTTCATCTTAGTTTTCCAGAGTGCATTCTTCAAGAGCAAGAGGTTCACATTGGTGTTTACTGGAGTCGTATTTATTCAGCACAATGGAGTGTTGGCTCTGGTTGAGATACGGCTGTCACACAGGAAACTGAGCTGTAACTGGTAACAAAGGTCTAATCACAAAATCAGAACCAAATGTGTTTTATTTAGCTAAAACAACTTGCTTGCTTCTCTGCTGTCGCACACACTTCTGGGATTTTCTCTAGAAATAGTGTAAGGAAAAAAAAACCCCCAACCTCTAATGATACTGTCACCAAAATGTCAGTGTGATTCCACAATTGTTTTTTCGCAGCCTGAAGCATTTCTCCCCTGACTTCTTTACGTTTAGATTTTCTTGGACATGGAAAAAAACATGTTAATCTCCTCAGATGTTGTTGTTAAATGTGCTGTTTTTTTCCTATGCCCGGCCTTCCCCAGGGAAGATTTTCTTAAAACAGCCTTTGCTGTTGTTGGCTTGATAATCACACTTATCTCAAGAGCCAGTGTTGTAAAGCAAAATCTTGTTTTCTCTCTTCCCCCCCCCCCCTTGTAAACTAGTAGAAGAAAACCTCTTACTATCCAGAGCTTTCCTGCTAATGTCTCTTGTCTTAGCAGGAAATCAGTGGCTTAAAAAGACTTAGATGGTGTCCTAGATTACGAGGTTTGTATTGGCTATGGTAAACCTTCAATGGTTTAGTTCTTTAAATTTTTCCTGTGCTTAGCTTTTTTTGGCTGCTTGACATATCTAGCTGGTTTCTGCATTCATATTCCATTGTGAGAGCTAGAAGTCAGTTGCAAAGATAGCAAAAAGTAGATGAAGTCTGAGACATTATAAGATTGCCGGGCTGAAGACAAGACTCTAGGATTGTGTGGGTGAACTGGGGAAGAACGTGGAAGATTTGGGAGTCGGGAAAGCTGCCTGTGTTCCTCTGAGTTTGATAGGGCAGATTTTCCACTCAGCATACAGATGCTCTTGCGTGTTATTTGGACTGAAACTCTGAGCTCAGGCTGGCCTAGAACTTCCTTTATATGAGCACAGGCTTTGGCATACAGATACAAGATGAGTTTAGGTGCTTTGGCAAGGTTTGAGGGTAAATCAAACTGACAGTGTCATAGCCACTGTCACTTATTTCTTGGTGCTCATCTGTCTGTATTAGTCTCCTTAAGGACTTGATTTAATTAAGGCAGGACTCATCCTAGGTTCTGTACAGACCGAGTAGCTGTCTGTAGCACTCCTACAATGAAAGTGGAACCAGGAGTTTCTCTGCAGATACTAATATAATTGAACGGTACGGTATGGTTACGCATGTTAATTGTAGCTCTGCAAACATACCTTTAAATTCTCCTACCACACGCTCGTAGTTCTTGCTTGTCTGCATACAAGGACACGTGATATATCCCATTTGAATCTTCAGTTTAGATCTGTCCTGACTTCAACCATTTCTGTTGTATCCTATGTAAATGCTTGTATTTAATAATGGATTTAGCCAAGTCTGGTTTACTATTATGCTTGAAAGCTAGGAGTAAATGTGCTTCTTGGAACTGCAAAGTCTGGGTCACAAATGTTTCAAGGATGATACTTTTTATGTACTGATTGCCAAACACTTACCAGACTGATGATCAGTTGTCACCTGTGGATCTCCACCTCGGATCCAACAGGAAACTGCAGTCATGTAAATAAAGTGTGTGTAGGTGGATGATTTGTACTCTTCTGTATCTTAAGATACTGTGTGAGTTTGTTCTTCTAAATGTTCATCTATTTACACCGGGAGCCAAGATACTCGATTTGTCTGGATGCTAAAACTGGAGAAACTCTTCCACCTTGGAACAAATGAGGTTTCGTAGATAATAACAAGATTCTTGTCCTTCTTGGTATAGAAAAGCCCTTTCCTTTGCCTTTGTGAATTTGTTCTCTCCTACACAGACATAATTCCTATTAAGGATTTGCTTTCACTTGAAGGATTTGACTTCCATGTTTATACTGTTTTACTGATGGCTTGAAGGCATGTTGAGAGGAGTACCCTTCACAGATTAGGAAGCTGATAGTACTGCCTTCTTACTTTCTCTTCTACTTCCTATGTAGTTCACTGGAATTTCATAACAGTAGGAGAAAAAGAAACCTGAAACTTAAGTTTGTGTACTTTGGTTTTCCATATAGTTGAGAATCTTTTAACAAAAGAGAAAGTTTATGTGTGTATGTATAAAGGAAGAGGATATGAAACTAATAGAAATTGGATAGGTATGGGAAAGAGCTGGGGCTGGAAGCTGACACCTGCTAGGGTTTTGAAGTTACGTTGTTGACTTGCTGACCTGTATTTAATTTCACTATAGCCATGTAAAACTTTGTTACAAATTCTAATGGATATTAAAAGAATTAAGTCTCCATTAAAATGAATTGCCATAGCCCCAAATAATTGTGTGGTGTGTGTTTTTAATATCTGGGGTAGGGCTTTAAATCAGAAACTTAGTAATTTGGCCATATCTACTTGGCACCAAGCAAAAATTGAACAGCATATACATCTTATTGCAGGAATCCTGGTGTGTTTTCTGTCCTCCAAAGTGAGGAAAGTGAAAAGAATGATCATTGCTGGATTAATTGTCCTGTTGAGTTTACTTAAAAACCCAAGAGCTTTGTTCTTTTTTTTTTTTGCAGCCACTGATCTTCTTTTGGCTTGGAATCCCATTTGCCTGGGCCTGGTAGAGGGAGTCATTGGTAAAGTTCAGCTTCATACAGGTATGTGATTGCTTTTTTGGGGTGTGTGTTTTTTTTTTTTTAACTACTAATGCCCTTTGTTTTAAAGTCAGTGATACTACAAATAATACTGTGTACTTCAAATGGAATTATGTAATGTTCTTTGCAATGGAGTTACTCCCCAGCTATGTGAATTCCCTCTACTTTCCAGTGTATGTGGTTTGGTTTGTCATTGGCTTGTAAAAATGGAGAACTGCATTCACAAAGAGTGCAAATTGGTGTTTTGAAGTTCTAACTGAGGCTCTGTGTGATGTGCATGAAATTCTTGCACCTTTTTTGAATAATCCTTTTGAGCAGTTTTTGTTGTTCTCCTGTGGTACTGTGCAAAAACTAGTGGTGGAAGCTGTCACAAAAATAAAAGGCTTTAATTCTCAATGCTGTATGAAAACCTGAAGAATAATTACTGCCTTGGTAGGCAACTACTTGAATGTAAAAGGAACACTTAAACTTATTTGTAGCGAAATGTAAGACATAGCTATAAAATGAAAGCAGGCATAGAATGCATTGTGATATACTGTTAGGCCTATCTCTGAATGTTTCTTTTTCCTGTAAAATAAGGTCAATGCTCTTTTAGCTTTAGTCAGCTGCAAATTCCTGTAGCCATAATAAATATTTACTTTGATATATACCAGATTTGTCTGGAAATACTCTTCTGCCAGTAGAGCTCTGGATATCTTATTTACTGACAGGTAGGAGAGGTAGCTGTAAACTCTGCTTTGCTAACTGTGTGCTGTTCTCTCTGTGAATGCTTAGACCCTGCAGTGAAAGTAGTGCCTGGCAATATGATCAATACAGGTAACGTTTCAAGTGTGTTCCAGGATAGCCGGATGGATTAAGTGTTGAAATGGATCAGATGTTTGGGGTCCCTTGCATCGAAACAGATTAGTCAAGATGGCAGTGGCATACTAGCAACGAAGGAGGAAGGATACGGGCACTGGTGCACCATTGCACAAGCGTTTGACAGGTCTGGTTCTAGAAACAGTTGGCTCCATACGTACTGTATGTCCTGAGTCTCATTTCTGAGAGTAATAGTTCAGAGCCCATCTCCATGAAGCTTATGATCATGTCCTCCTTCCATTGCATTATTTCGTTATCTTTGAATTTCACCTGATATTTCTGTCTGTGCTCATTCTACAGATCTATTTCCTTTTTCAGGTCTGGTGATACAAAGTGGTTCAGACTCTGACATCTCACCTTCTCTTCTCATCCAGGTTGTCTGTGCTGTTCATGATGTATGATGGCTAAACTCCAATAACAGCCTCTTTCTGCTGTGGGAAAATGTTCAATGATTGTTTTCAGCATGTTTTTTTGTGTGTGTTTTTTTTTTTTTTAACCAAGCACTTACGTACACAGAGACCTTCCCTCCTCTCTCTAGGGAGTCTAGTATAAAAGCCTTTGAAGGGGAAGAACTTATCAAATACTTTCTGGAAGGTCTAGTATGTTATGGCAACCAAATATCCTTGCATGTGTGCTTATTATGAGGCACTTCCTCTGCTTATGAAAGCACAGTTGAAGCTTTCCCCAGCATGTGACCCTTCAACAGGTGCCAGCTTGCTGTTGTCAAATAAATTAAGTTTATCTGGTGGGCTTTCCATGTGTTCTACAGAGCTGCCGAATCAATTGTGCTCATCCAGGCATCCCATTCCGTTGCTGCTAAGGCCAGTGGAAGTGTGTTGTTCTCTGCCTTGTTCAGATGACACCATCAGAATCTGTTCACAGACGATCCTTCTTGTTGTGGATATTCTGCTGTTTAGTGATGGCAGCAGTCCTGTAAACAGGCATTTATTTTCTACCTGTAAATGTCTGAAGAAAGACTCTCAAGCTATTTATCCATACTCCTCTGCGAGAACTACTGCTCCCCTGAATCTGCTGACGGTTGCTGTTGAGTGTCCTCTGTCGGGCTGCGGTCGAAACGAGAAGGCTGACTGAGGTCTCTTTACATAGGTCTCCTGAAACCTATTATTGTCAACCAACTCTCACTTGATCACATTTAAGTGTAATTTTATGTAATCCTCTAGCTGAATCATCTGGCATTCTGTAACAGTAACCTGTCTTCATTACTTATTCTTCTATCAATCTTTGTCACCTGGAAACTTTATCAGCAGAAGCTGTATAAATATTTAACAGTGCTGGACCAGTATCTCCAGACTTAGTAAGAGTGCTGTGCTGGAAGCTGGGCAAAATGCTTTCCTCTCAGAGCTGACCTGGAGTAGGAGGACTTGCTGCTCTGATTTCTTCTTTCCTGCCCCCAGACTATAAGAATCAAAAGACTTAATTTGAAGGTTTTCTGGCTGACTAGAGACCTGTATTGGCTTCTACTGCTCAGAACCTTGTTGGTAGCTATTGTTGGAAAGAAGTACTGGTGTGTGTTTAAAAATGTTTAGCACGTACTGACTAATACCGGAAACTTTAGAAAACTTAAGTATTGAAGTGGCTACCAGTGTGCTCTAAAGCTGTTGCTACGACTGTGTGCACTTTAATGTCTTGGACATAGATCCTTACATCTTCTTGAAAGATTTGCTTAATGCTGGAATAGACCTAAAATGACCTCAAAATGTCCCTGTAGTCAATGTTGGGCTGTCCTTAATTTAGCATTGAAACACCCTTGCCAAATTGCTGTAACTAGGGATGGGATTAAATGTACTTTTCATCTTGCTGGTTTTATTGCTGGCCTAGTACAGGAGAATTTGTTGTAAAGCCTATGTAGGAGGGATGCAGTCTTGCAGAAACCAGCTGGCCAGTATTAGATGGTTGGTTTTTTTAATTCTTTAAAGAATCTTTGCTGTGAGAAGGCCAGTTCTATGCCTGGACATGACTTTTCAGCTGCGGTGTGGGTGTGCAGTTTACTTCAAGTATCATTTGGTTCTTCCCCAGTACTGAATTTTCTTAAACATTAAGATGCATTAAATGGAAAGCGGCTAGATTTATACATCGGGGGAAAAAAAAATCTTCCCAGAGGGGTTGGGGAGGCACGGGGACAGGTTGCCCAGAGAAGCTGTGGATGGCCCATCCCTGGGAGTGTCCAAGGCCAGGCTGGATGAGGCTTTGAGCAACCTGGTCTAGTGGAAGGTGTCCCTGCCCGTGGCAGGGGGGTTGGAAGTGGGTAGGCTTTAACGTCCCTTCCAACCCAAACCATCCTGTGACTGTATGGGGAAAAAATACAACCCAAACAACAAAACTTTAGTAGAGTATCAGAATGCAAGGGTATGTTCTCTTACCTTTTTCTGGCCCATCCTAAGATGAGTTGTAAGAAAATGTGGACTAAAAATGGAAAACAACTTTAGGATGTGGACATAAATTACTGTAACAGAACATTGTGCATCTGTACTTACACGGTGTGCAATTAAAATTGTCTCTGCATGATCTTCCCGTATAGAGGCGAGCATCTCTCTTGCATGAAGTCTCTCCTTCATAGAATATTTGTTTTGTTTTGTGGTCTGGTTAGTGTGCGTACATAAATACAAGTGTAGCACTCGATTTCCTTTTGCCAAAATCCCAATACAGAACTAGGAAGTTGTGCTATTTTTTTGTTGGATTAAAGTATGTACTTTTATTCTACTAGCCTGAAATTGAGTCACTGTTGATCAGAGGCTGCTTAGCAAGTGATCAAACGCTGTAGTGCTAGAATATGCTCAGAGTTAGTATTGTATATGTAACTACAACCAAACCTGAGTTTCTTAACCAGTTCTGGCAATTTCCACTTAAATCCTTCATTGCCACCATGTTTTTCTGTTTCTTGGTCCAAGCAGACTCCTGTGCAGTTTCATGTCTGTACTCGTATCAATTTGGTGTGATCTTCCAGTGCTGGTTAATTAAGACCCAAATTAAATGCTGATGGCAAAGCTTCACAGACTCAGTAAACAGAAGGGAAGTTCCTCCTTCCCTGTCCTAAGGGAAGGAAAGCTCTTTTGTTAGCATGCCTCTGAATCCTGACAGAAACAATGAATGATTCAGCATCTGAAGTATCTTCAATGGGATGTAACTGCTGCCATTTCAAACTTCTAATCAAAAACTCAAAACATCCTTTTTCCATGCAACTAATTAAGTTATTAAGTAACAGAGGCCAAGAAAATGGCATAATGGAATTTCTTGGCTAAAATAAAAATACTTGGGAAAATCAGCATTTTTAGTAAACTTATGCACGCTTTAAGAAAAATTACTGCAAAAGTATTTGGTAGAACTAAATGCTGGATTGCTTGGGAAGTGTTAGAGAAAATAAACAGCAGAGGTGTGCTGACCGTGTTGAAGGAATAGAGGAGCTAAGCTGTTTTAGTGAGGAATGGGAGGTAACAGCTTACTTCGGGTGGTTGCCATCTGCTCTGCCGTGGTTCATAAAACACTAAAAATGAACATTAGATCTAAAGAGGTGATTTAAAACATACACTCTTTTAGAATGACCTATAGCAATAGTGTTCTCCTGTACACACCATACCTCCCATATCAAATAGACAGTAACTAATTGTTTGGCTTTTGGCTTTTTTTTAAGCTGTTCTATGAACTGTTTTTTAACTGCAGGAGCACATCCAGTCATTTAGATATTGCTGGCAGTTACAATATGCTGCTTCTGTGGCTGTTGTTGAAGCTTTTACTTTAGGGCATGCTTTATCTGCATAATTACTTCCTGACTGTTTTCTTTTGATCTGCTGGGGAATTCCTGTTTTCTTCCTGAGTTCTGTGGCTTTAGCCATAATACAGATAGAGGTTTGAACTGTGCTCTGAGACGACTTTGAGTGCATTTTTAAAAATGATAAAGGAATACTGAACTCGCTGGTCTGTATTAAGCTGTTAAGTTCTTGTTTACTGCTACAAGGGTTTGTTAATATGTGGTGAACTGAAGAGTAGTTTCTTACCTATTCATTGGTGTTCACTGTTGCGTAGTGTCTGTCCTGCTTTCCTCAGCTTTCCATATTTCCACCTTACCCCTGTGGTTGCTAGGTGGAATGCTGGAGGCCAAGGCAAGTGTTCTCTGAGCTGTGTTGCCTGTACCTGTACAGAAGAGCTGTTCCAGCACCTGCTGTTACGTCAGATAACTGTCTCGCTGGCGTTTGCTGTCATTCTCTTGTCCTTATCTGTTGTCCTTTGACTGGTTTTTAGATGATCCTTATGTCACAGTTTTGCGTAACCTGGTCCAACCTCAGAGCTGACCCTGCTTGAGCAGGTGACATCCTGAGATCCCTCCTGACCTGACTTGTCTCTGATCCTACGGAGATCATGGACTTGCTGTTGTGTTCAGGAAGTGCTGCAGGACTTGCTTTAGAAGATCACATACATTAAGTAGTGCATGTCTTCATTGCCCTTTCGCTACTCCCTTTTTTGGGGCAAACCTCTTGTTCTCATGGTGCATCTGTAATTATAAGGATCTGTAATTTTTAACAGCTCCCTAGTACCCAGCATAAGCACATCTCTCTCCTAAAGGCAGTAATACAGAATTGAACTAAGGAGTGGAGTGTCATAACACACAGTAGTCTCCTTTCAATGATCATTCCTTTTGTTTAGGCAGAAGAAACTGCTGCTTATAAATACCTTGTCAGATTTGGGTTATAAGTGTTTAGTTATTGGAAAGATGCTCACAACTCTGATAGAGTTCTAATTCTATGCTGAGCATATATTGGGAAAATGTGGGAAAGAGAACAATTCTGGGTGTCCTGTGAATTTAAATACGCTATCCTGAGTTTCTCTTAAGCACTTAGAGGATAAAATAGCATTTAGAATTTACCAAGCAAGCAAACAGACGTTGTATTTGCTATAAAGCCTCTAAATAGATGTTTCAGAGGCTGTATGTTGTATTCAAGGCATACTGCATGACACAATCCATTGTAACAAGCGTGGAAGCTATATTAAGTCTACCATGGCATGCTTTTCATGCCTGTCTATGGCCTCTTCAGTTAAACTCAGCTGGGAGGAGTAGTGGGTGTGTGTGTGTGTCTCGGACTTCCTGTGCTTTTTTCCAGCTCTCTTAACAGAACTTTCACTTGGACTCATAAACCCCCAGAATACTACTAGCCCACTGCTGATCTAACCAAACGATTAAAATCTAGGAAGCTAATGTCCAGGCAGTATTCATCAGTCAGTGAGAATGTTTGTTCTGTTTCTCTATCCCTTTAAAGTGTTGAAGCTGTAATTGTGAATCTTGTAGATTGAATGTGGTTATGGAATGCACCTGCTACCAATACCTTAATTAATCTTTGGCTCATTAATTTCTACACCACTTCAATGCATATACTTCAGCAGTGATCTTAGGAAGTTTTAAACATACATGAGATGTTTTGTGATGCAGTCCGTGTTCACCCACCAGATGTCTGAACTCATGAATCTTGTAATCAGGTGTTACCTGAGTCTGTCTTGTCCCCTCTGTGGTGTATAAAACAGCAAACAAAGGAAAATCTTGGCTTGCTGTCCCTTGAGCTCCAGGTACCCTTTCCAAATTGTACTGCTGTTAGTGACCTTGGGAATATGCATCATCCTAGAGATTGCCTAATGGCTTTAGATGAAGCAGTGGTAGCTTTACCTCCAAGGAGTAAGTCTGTGAAATAGTTAATCACCTTAATATATTACAGACTGAATAAGTAGTGTTTGGTTTTTTTTTTTTCCCCCAAGTGTTTTTTTTAATTGCAGTACATAATAACACAGCAACAGTGAATTATTGCTCGCTGGAGCCTTCTAGTGAAACGATTCCTGGCAGAGGTTTTGCGCTGGAGAGCAGCTTCTGGCAGACTAATCAAAGTAAAGGCCTGACAGACAAATCAAAGCATCTACTAATCTTTTTCCAGATTTACCGTGGTGGCTACTTTTAATTCGTCAGAAAGCGTTGATGGGCAAACTTCCAGGAGACCATGAGGTTTGCAAAATAACAAAGATTGCAGTGATTCCGCTGTCTGAGACAGAACCTCAGGATCTGGAATTAGAGGTACGGCTACCTTCAATGAATTCTGACTTTCCTCTTTCTGCTTCAGTAAAATTTAAATGTGAAATATAATTGCTAAACACATAAACCAGGAAAAAGAGAGATAAGAGGTATGCAGACTTAATGACCATTTTGTGCTTTTTAAATGCTGGGTTTTTTTTAAAGTATTTTTTTAAAATGGAAATCACAAGTTTTGATAGGGAGGGAAATTACAATAAAATTATATCCAGATTTCATAAAGACCCATGAAAATACCACAATAGAACAAAATTTTACTAGTGTAGTTTAGCAACAGCTAATTCAAGAACAGAACTGAATTCACTGGAATTGTCTAAAGGGACAGTGCTGTAGACTGGGACAGGGACCTTGTTTTTTTGCTTATAAAACCCCCAAACCTCTCCTGATTACCTCTTAATGACCAGGATGGTAAGGCTTTCAGTAAATCCTAGTTCTCTTAAGGTGTTGTACACTGTGGTTGGTAGACTGGTGGGAGAACAATTCTGTCTTCAGGCTTTGGGCTGCTGTTTTGAGTGTGTGTGTGGGTGATGTTGGAGGGACAGGATGCATGAGAAACCTTCCCTGAAGAGGGAACTCCAAAGCTTTGGTGGACCTCTAGGAGCAGGAAGAGCTGCTGAAACACTATTTTAGAGTCTGGGCATTAGAACCTCCCAGGGTCTGGGATACAAGAGTATGAATTGAAATCTAGATCTAATATCTTCCTGTTCATAGCTGTGTAGGCAAGAACACAGGGCATCTGCCAGGTGCTTTTGTAGGAACCTCTACAAGAACTCGGGTGTGCAGTGCCCTCTCCCAGGTACTTCACCTTGCTCACTCCTGAGGTTATCCCTGAATATCTCTATGATAAGGCTTCATGTCTGTGTTTTTTGGAGGAAAGAAGCTGTCATATCTCTGCACTGAATCAGGAATGTGTGTGTTACCTTGACGTCTTGCTTCCATCCTGTTTTGGAATCTTAATTGTGTAGCTTGGCTTCAAGGGAAACCCCTAATTTAAATGTTGCAGAAATTTTTCCAAAAGAGAATGGATAGAGGAAATCCAGTGAAAGTGAATAATAGTAATTTACACTCTAATTTGGGTGGGAAGTTGTGGTGAGTCTGGATACTCAAGTCATGTCAATTTGAGGCAAGCATTCTCATAGTCACCAGAGAAAATGCCTTTTATAAAAAAGGGAGAAATATGCTATAGATTGAAATACAGGGGGCGCATGCAGGTTTGAGTGTTGCCTCTAGGTTTGTGGATGTTGCCGTCTTGCTTTTGTAGACATTTAACTAAAAGTTTCTTGAACTTGCTGGAGTATTTAAGCATTGGCTTTAATTCAATATCATTATTTAGCTTTGTAAAAAGCACCACTTTGGGATAAACAAGCCAGAGAAGATTACACAGTCCCCAGATGACACAAAATTTCTGCTGAAGACTCTTACTCAAATTAAATCAAATGTGTCTGCTCCAAATAAAAAAAAGGTAAAGCTTTATGCTGTTTTCTTGTGTGGTGGTTTTTAATGTTTAGTTGCTAATTCCAAGGTTGTGGTGGTTGATCAAATGGGGTAGTAAGACCTAAAAAAGTGAGCTAGTGAAAAACTGTCCAATGTGCAACTACTGTCTTGAAGTTCAGTTTAATTTTTGATTATTTAACTGTTGCTCTTCTGATTTTTCATTTTGTAATTATTATGTTATTGTAATTACATTATTGTAATTAATTTGGGCAGAAGTACTAGAGAGCCTTCTTGGCAGGATTTGCTTCTAGTGGGATTCTGAACTTGCATAAATTGCTCTGCATAAGCATCTCTTGCCATGTAGAACTGGAGACAAAATCTAATGCAGAGCTGCTCAAAGAACACCATACAATCTCATCAAAACACTCTTTACACAATAATAGCTTGGATTTGAAAGTCCAAACAATATTAAAATTGGAATATGTAGATACCAAGTTTCACAGAAACTTGAGGCTGACTTCTGGAGCTTTCCTTACTGCTGAAAGTGATAGTGTGATATTTCTTAACATGCTGACCCTTCCATTTATCTCTGCTGAGAAAATGCTTGTCCTGCAAGGTTAGGAATGGCACTTAGCAAATATGGCTGGAATATTTTTCATTCTAAGAGAAAGACATAAGAAAGCCATTACTTTTCTTTCAGATTAAAGAAAGCAAAGAAAAAGAGAAGCTGGAGAAGAGATTACTGGAGGAGTTGTTCAAAATGTTCATGGATTCAGACTCCTTTTACTACAGCCTGACCTATGACCTAACAAATTCTGTGCAGCGGCAGAGTGCGTGTGAGAAAACGAACTTACCCCTCTGGCGAAGAGTAAGTGTGTGTGGTGGTTTGGCTTTGTTTCTTTTTTCCATCTGGGAGATGTGCTGTGCAATAATGTATGTGGTCCAAACGTGACTGGTCACATTCTCTGCTGCTTTAACCTACAGCAACCAAAGATCTTGCCCTGTGACCAGCTTCAGCGCAAGGAAACAAAAGCAAGGTCTCAGGCAGCATGTCCTGAACTGAGCTGTTATGTTCAAAAATAGTGAGCAATAGATTTGCACATAGAGCTGCAGAGAATAAACCTCCTGTCTTTACCAAAGATATTGCCAAATGTTAGTTAAAATGTTGCAAAACCTGCCTGTTTTGTTTTAAATAGGTTGATGACAGATTCTTCTGGAACAAGCACATGATTGAAGATCTCATCAGCATTGATGTGAGTCTTAGAAATTTCTAACAATAACATGTGTATTATGAGAACCATCCTTTAGTTTTAGTTGAAATGTGTACTTCAGGCCTCACAGAAGTTTACTTAAAAACCTGCTTGGTGGACAGGGGCCAGGATGAGGGCTGATTCTCCTTCTGAAGCAGAGCGTGTTGTAGCTTGTGATTGTCTATGTGTATTAAGAGAACCATCCTTTTTTAGTTGAAATGTGTACTTCAGGCCTCACAGAAGTTTACTTAAAAACCTGCTTGGTGGACAGGGGCCAGGATGAGGGCTGATTCTCCTTCTGAAGCAGAGCGTGTTGTAGCTTGTGATTGTTGCCAAGGAATGCACATCCACCAAATTAAAAACCTCATTACAATAAAGCAGTGCAGGGTAACTTGGTTTGATCAGTTTGTGCTGATTTCTGAAGGTAAATTTAAGATGTATTTATCTGTGAAATGGATTATCCCTGGACAGAGCTGATTATTTGATAAGGAGGAAGAGCCAGAAAAGAAAAGATACTGAACTCCAAAATTTTGAGATAAGGTTTTTGTCCTCCTAACTGGAGAATACTGTTTTTTCCTCCTTGAACAGAAGAGCTGATCAAAGTGACAGCAGTGTAGAACAAGTTATTCTGAACAGCTATTCAGAGTAGTAGATAAAGCATTTTCCTAGCTAATGGGCACACTAAAAGCACAGAACCACCACTCTTTTTCTTCAGTATATACTCCAACTTTATTTTAAAATAACCTCCAAGATAAAGGACAGAGTTGCTAACGACTGTGTGCCAGTTTAGCTTAAGTCTTAGGTTCTTTTGAAGATGACAGCAGACATCTTACTTAATGCCCTGCATCTCTCTCATTAATAATCTGATGTACTCTTGATGCTTATGGATTCTGAGCAAGGTAAACCTAGATGCTCTCTGAAAGGTTGAATGTAGTGGAGGAGTTTAAGTAGTTGTATTTTTCATGGATAACCTTGAATTGTGTGGAACTTGGATCTAAATTCTGTTAAGAAACTGAGCTTTTCGGGTGACAAAGCACTGATGTGCAGAGCCATGAAGCAGTTGGCTTGGGTACTAAGTTGGCCCATATAAAGCTTATACTAATATGTTTTGAAAACAGGCTAACAGCATTGTGCTTTAAATTATCTATTTGCCTGTGCCGATGCAGTATGCTGTATGTCCACAGAGAGGTTGTAAACTGCCTGAAAGCATAAACTAGATAATAATAAACTACCAGTATTTGCTGCTTTGTCTGAGCTGTGACAGTCTTTGATGTAAGAAGTTTCCACTTCTAGCTTTTAATGTGTTTTAAGCATCAGATTTAACACTGTATAAAAACTTCATTTGGGAAAGGGGAAAAGAAGCTTTTAAATAGTGTAGGGTTCTCTTCCATCCCTGGAGGGCTGGGAGTAGAGGAGGGCTTTTTGCCTTGCCTTGATTCAGCTCATTTCATCTCCACAGAAAAACCTTAAGTTGCTTTCTTGTTCTTCCTCCTGATCAAAAAACCCTACAACTAATGAAGAAAAAATGCTGGTACCCCTTAAGAAATAAGGCAATGACATGGCAAAAATTTCTTAAAACATGAAAAGCACATGAAGCAGCTGTTTATAAACATGAGAAATGGCAGAAATAATTGCAGGTAATATAGTACCAACAAGAATGTAAATGTCTTTTGTAACCTTCAGAATGCTGAAGTGGACTTCTGGATTATACCCATCATACAAGGATTTGTGCAAATTGAAGAGCTTGTAGTAAACTATAGTGAATCTTCTGATGATGATAAGAGCAGTCCTGAAACTCCTCCTCAGGAATCAACTTGTGTAGATGATGTTCATCCAACGTTTCTGGTGGCACTTATTTCACGCCGGAGTCGGCACAGAGCTGGTAGGCAAATGTAGTTCAAGACATTGGGGTTGTTCCTGGATACTGGAGAGGAGTGCAGAAGACAGAGCCTGGAGGGGTGCTGTGTTGGTCAGCAGATGATCAGCTCTGGTCAGAGTATGTGCTACAGCCTTTCCTGCTTTCAGGAGGGAAAGAAAAGGCTGTAGTGCACACAGCACTGAACATTTGTTACTTAGAGTATTTGCCAGAACAACGTAGAGTAAATATTTGAGAGTTTCAGGGCAGTATCTAGTTTGCAGTGGGCCTTATTTGCCCTAAATTGTTTTACCGATACAGAAACTGAATTGCAGAGGGCAAATTTGTTACTGATTCCCTATTACTATTAATGACACTCTGGTCACCTGATTGCTAGTCCAGAGTGTAAACTGTGTAGAACTTTGTCTTGACCCAAAAAGACTGTTTCAGTATATTTATCGTATGTTTTGATTGAGTAATTGTAGGATTAAGTGGTGTGTTTAATTCATTCTGTAATACGACTTTAGCTCAGGGTTCAAAGTGTTTTCATTTATGAAATGTTGTTAAAATGAACATGCAAACAAAAAAATGCACTCCAAAACCCAGATTTGAAAGCCAAAGATAATTCCATTAAATACACTGATTCTTGATTTGCCCGGCAGCTTGTTTGTGATTTAAGGGGGGGGGGAAAAGCCCCACTGCACTGAAGTATCAACGTACCCAAGACCTTAAGGAGAGATATCATGAGATAAGACAGTTGTGCTTAAGAGAGCAAGAGTCTAGTGTCTGCAAATGTTGAGATATCAAAACTAAGGGAACTAAGATTACTGTGCAGTGATTTAGTTTTGAATTTATTTAAATCAATAAAAGCAGCTAGTCTTTGTGGCAGGATATACTTAAAGGGTATTTGATGCTTTAGTCTAAAAAGTCCCATCTGATTAAATGCTGTAAAACTGTTTTGATGTTTTGTGACCCTATAAAGGCCCCTGTGATAGGTTTTTTACATCCCTTTCACTGCCCTCTTTCTAATCTCTTCCCTTCTCTCCCATAGTCCTTAGCTAGTGCTGTTGGGGTTCAGCTGTAAAGTTTGGTCCAGTGCTACTTCAAGACTTGGAACAGAGTTGTTCCGGTTCTGTGGAACTGGATTTCCATGCTGTAAATCACAGCCTTGAATTTTTCTCCGACCCTTTCTACTTATTTCTTCCCTGTCCCTTGCTACCACCTGCATCCTGTCTGAAAGAGTGATGTGCTGAGTAAAGGATGTGCACTCCTCCGTGTGCAAACACTCACCTGCTCTGTTCCATGATCAGATGGCTAGGCAAAAAACTGCATGGTTGGAAGAGCAGTGTCTGTTCCTAATGTGCAGAATTATGCAGGTGAAAACAAGGCGGGGACATCTGCTCTTTGGAATGTGCAGATCTTCTTGGGCTGCTTGTGGGATCCCCTGTTGCAAGAAGTGGAGCATCTGTCAGTAAAAGTGGCCTTCAGGTTGATGGCAAATACCAAGCACTACAGTAAAACTTCCTAAAAAAAGAGGAAGTAATGTATTCTTGGTTGGGCTAGATATGTCTGACTTCATGGTGCCTGTAGACTGCCTTGCCCTGCCAGCTTATTTTCTGCTGCTTGTAGTATGTCTGTAAATAAACTCTATCCATATATTCCGTATAACTTTTGAGGATTAAACTAGGATGGGAGTGATTTACCATTTTTGAGTTTTGACTAGAATGTTCTTCTTGTGTTACCACTGTTGACAACAGGGCTAGATATGTCTGACTTCATGGTGCCTGTAGACTGCCTTGCCCTGCCAGCTTATTTTCTGCTGCTTGTAGTATGTCTGTAAATAAACTCTATCCATATATTCCGTATAACTTTTGAGGATTAAACTAGGATGGGAGTGATTTACCATTTTTGAGTTTTGACTAGAATGTTCTTCTTGTGTTACCACTGTTGACAACAATAACTTCATATTTAGTCTTAAGCATTAATAATTTGTGTTATCGTCCTCGTTCCTCCTAGGAATGCGGTATAAGCGAAGAGGTGTTGATAAAAATGGGAACGTGGCTAATTATGTTGAGACAGAGCAACTGATTCATGTTCATAATCACACCCTTTCATTTATACAAACAAGAGGTTCTGTGCCTGTTTTCTGGAGCCAGGTTGGATATAGATATAACCCACGGCCACGACTGGACAAGAGTAAGTATTTGAGTGGAATAAAGATCGGAGTCTCCTTAGAAATAGGTTCACTGGAGCATTGCTTTACTACTGGTCTTTCAGTGGCGCTTTATAAAAGCCAGGAATAACAGTAATGACTCTTGTTAACTCCTACTCTAATTGCAACTGTGCAAAGCTCTGACTTGTGGTCCGGTGTAAAATCCAACAGGTCTTAAATTTCACCATTTAATGAAATACCTGTTTCGTCTAGTCCTACTTGCTGTAGTGTTTCCTGGGTTGGGAAGAGAGGCAATTTGGCTTTGAGAACCTGCTCAGACACTAATGTCTTACAAATATCTTTGTCCATGAGGTTAATGTATGCTCAGGTTCCTTTTGCGTTAAGAACTGCCATTACTGCATGGGGAAAACAGACATTTCACATAACACCAGTTTTGTAGGGTGCTTTAGTACTTAATTTCAGGGAAGACAATTATAGTGGGCTTTGTCTGGTCTAAACTGCTTCCTTTTCTACTCAAAGATTATTCAGAAGCCAAAATATGTAACAATATTGATGAGAAGGTGGCAAATCTGGATGTTTCTATGAACTAAGTATTCGGAGTCTGAACTTTCTTGGAAGGTAGAGGTGGATAAAATCTTCACAAGGTTTAGCTTTGTAAATGAGAAACTTTTGGCAGGAAGCTGGTATGTCAGTGATATTGTAAAATCAGACTCCCACAGGATTGGGTTGACTGGCATCCTAGATCGTAAAAACGTACTTCTGCAAGTCCAACCTGTGTGGTGGATTCACGTTCTCCTCTAGTAGGTCTGGTCTTCTGACAACGAAGGCTAGTTTTAGGGCTTAAAAAAAAAAATCTACTCTTTCAAATGGGACTTTGGTGTTGGAAAGTTTAAAGGGATGTTTTTTCCCTGTATCTTGATGAAGATCAGCCTTCGGGCTTGCTTAGGAACTTGTGCAAAGCACATAATTTGGAGTTGACAAGCACCTACTGTCACTGCAGCGTTAAGGAAGACACATCAACAAATTTGGGTTTCTTGTGTTTTCTATACCAAATAACCTGGAGATGACCGGAGAGGGATGATTTGTTGCCTCATCTTGGAAATCTATTTAAATTCATAAAATGAGGAAAATAAAACACTTAATTTGATATTAATTTGCATTTAATTCTATGGGTTTACAGGTACGAATTGAAACTTTGAGGAATCAGTGGTGTCTTGAATCAACTGGATAGCAATTACACTTTTTAATTAGAGTAGTTTTGTCCCCTAGAACTGGATGACTTTCAGTATTATCCTCTTCCATATGTCCCCTTTGCAAATTGCAAACCTTTCTCGTGCTTCAGTTTGCTTTTTCAAAAGATGCAAACCAAATATGAGCACTCTTGTGGAGTAGATGTTTATTTAGGTGTGTGATAAATATGTGGAAGGATTAAACAGACATATTACAGTTTTGCCCAGTCTGCTCTGCACAAAAAGTTAAGCAAAACTTAAGAATGGTGTTTCCTGTCTGCTACAGTAATAGGAGAGCTATGCTGAAATTGAGCAAATTGGTGAAAGAAATTAAAAGTAATCCTGCACACTGCTTTGCTTAAAATACTTACACACACAACGTAACAATCTTGCTTTTTTTAGAGTGTGGATTTGGGCATGATTTAGTACTACAGACAGGACTTGTTGATGAAAGGGCTGTTTCTATCTTGTAGGTGAAAATGAAACGGTGTCCTGCTTTCGTGCGCACTTTGAAGAACAGCTGAAAAACTACAAAAAGCAGGTGAGTGCTACGTGATAAAATACTCATCTTATGAAAACACAGGGGATGAATGTTCATGTCTTGTTGTTTTTCCTTGTTGATGTGGGTTGTGGTTTTTGAAAAGCTTGTTGACAATTGGAAGTGGGATGCAGGTACCCAGGTCCTGCACCTGGATCGGGACAATCCCAAGCACAA